AAATCGTCAAAACATCGATGCTTAAACTGCGGTAAGACTGGACATAATTCTCGCAACTGTAAAAAGAAGAAAAATAATCGCGATAAGTAAGAGAATGAGAAAAGTAAACAGTGAACCTAAATAGCTCGCAGTGTTCGGAATTGCTTCTATTCCTTCGCCGTATGGCATTAACATATGTGATTTGGATTTCGTTTTCTCTATATTCTGTAGCCGTACGGCCGAGCTATTTATAGAATGCCGATTCTCGCTATTTTTTTCCGTTACTGTGGGGCAAGTAGAATTTTTACGTGTACTATTTGGCAGCGGTACCGCCGTACGGCTCTGTGTGGTTGGGGGTGAAGAAATAGACAATTTATCGGGTGGTGTCTGTGCACTTTCTCCGAGAGCTGATGGGTCTTTAAACTCGCCGCTTTCGAGTGGTACCACAGCATCTAAACTTGGCTTTTTAACACTTCCGTGTGCGCTTTGCGCGACCAAATAACGACGGAGATCAAACTCAGCGGTACCGCCAGGAACATCCTCATTCTGTGAGTCAACTATTTGGCTATCACGTGTATTAGAAGCGCTCTCCTGGTGTGGTACCGCTCCGTATGGCTGGGACTCAGATGAGTCGAAGACTTGAAGCTCCGCTTCTTCTAATCTATGCTGTTGTACATCTCCACCAACTACAGACTCGCAGAGCAAAGGTGAGTCAGAGACTCGAAGCTCCGCTTCTTTTTTCTGAGAAGGCCGTACGGCAGCGGAAGTTTCAATAGTATCCAGTGTCAGCTCGATTTTTAATTTACTTAACTCAGAATTAAGAGACAAAATTTCGGAATCTTTTGTTGATATGTCTCTTTGAGCTAGAGCTAATTTGTCTGTCAGCGTTTTAATAATAGATTGATGCGATTTTATCTCGCTTGATTTTATGCGCAAAGCGCACTCATTTTCTTGCGTAGTAATCTGTAACTTAGCCAGTTTGTCTTTGAGAGATAAAATCTCGGAATGTTTTTTCGACAAATCTTTTTGAGCTAAAGCCAATTTTTCTTCTAAAGTTTTGATTCTAGAACAGAGTGAATCTATCTCTTTCGATTTTGTAATAATTTGATTCCTGCATTGAGCAAGGGAAAATTCTTTATCAGAACTTTTAATCTTCAATCTCTTGGCCTCTTCCAAGGCATAGGTGTGTATCCGCTGAATCTCAGTATACTTCTGTTTTAAACCACGTTCCAAGTGTTTTTTCTCCTGGTTCCAACCTTTTCTTTCCTGAACAAAAGTTGTTACTTGTCGAGAGTACTTATCTTGCAATTTTTCACAAAAATCGTTAATGTCAGCTTTGGTTTTAAGAGCCTGATATAACTCTTCTTTAAGTTCTTCATACGCGCTCCCAAGCTGGCGTCCTCTTGAAGAGTCGGAGACTTGAAGCTTTGCTTCATCGATATCTTGCAATGTATGCACATTGGTCATAACAATCTACGGTTACGTATAGTAGTAAAGTAAAGCTTGTATTGTAATACTGATAATACTGATAGTTATAGCACGGTACGGATACTACTAATATTATTGATAGTTATAAATTATGTATAATACTGATAATATTGATAGTATTGATAGTACTGATAGTATTGATAATTATAACACGGCACGGATACACTGCCAATATGAATATACCCAAGAGAAAGCGTATGCGATCCGACGCGACAAAACTAACTTTTACAGATTATGAAGATATTATGCAATATCGTGATATGAATCCTAAACCTTTAGAAAATTTAAGGCGCAAATATCACGTGTCAAATTCTCGCTTATATCAGATTTGGAGAGGACAAGAATCTTGTAGAGTTGAATGGAACCAACCTAAATCCAACTCAGCCTTTTTTTCGGAACCGTGTATTATTTCCTCGCCGTACGGCTCCGACACACATTCCAACACGCAAACTACACTTCCTCCGAAGAATCTAAATAAAAAAGATGTGATACACCCCAAATCTACTAAACTGCTGATAAAAAAAGAGGCGACGTATGACGCTTTACAGAGCGAAAAACACAAATTTGGGGACCGTACGGCAGCAGAGCTTCGACTCTTTGTGCCGGCGCCCGATAACTCGGCTAAAGAAATAAATCATGAGGAATTGATGGCGTTATGTGAGCGAGAGAAAAAACGAGGCGAAAAAAATATAGAAAATATTACTCGCTTATTAGGTAGTGGTACCACAGACACCTAGTCAATTTCTTTTAGTGCGGGTACGAGTGATTTTCGTGCATTTACTAACCGCTTGTATTCGATTAACATCTTTTCACAAAAATCGTTAATGCGCGCTTCAGACTCAAGTGTGGTATACAGCTTTTTTTCGAGTTCCCCATAACTCATGCGTTTTTTTTTAACGACTCGAGTTTATCTTGCGATTCAGTGTCATACGGCTCCGAAATATCATGATTGGATACTGGTGTATCTGTACATTGTATCACATTTGCACAATTTACTTCGAGCTTATTCTTGACCTTGTGCATGTTTATTGGAATAAAATACTCTTTGCCGTTACATACGAGTTTTAATTCTCGTTTCGACGCGAGTAAATCATAATCATATTTATCTAGGAGAGTATTTGGTAAAATTAGCATCGGCTTAGGGTATTTCACTACCGCAAAATCGGAATATATAGTGCAACCTCGGGCAAAATTTATAGGCACATTACGAACAATTCCAAGTGATTCAGTAGGGACGGTAGCGATACCTCTAAGATCATGCTTCTCCTTTGTATCGATATCTAATTTTAATCGTTCAGCTATATCTTCAGACATAATTGCAAAATTCGCACCGGGATCCACCGTGGCTGCCGGAATTACCAATCGTTTAATTTTGCATCTAGTAGTCACAACATCGGTCGCAGGCTCTTTTTTCTGAATAAAGTCAATTTCCATCAGTTCATTTATTGTCTCTTCGTCTTCAGACTCATTATCATCTGGCTGTACGGCTGAATTCGGTGTTTTAGAAATTACATTATAAGCCGGTTCATTATCTCGTAGAGCGAGCGCGCTTTGCGCGTTAGAACATTTTACATTCTGAGCGCACGGCTGTGTAGCGAATTTTTTCTGTAGTAGAAGCAATTTATTTTCAAGTATTTTGTTAAGTTTTTTCTCCATTATTTTTTCCATGATCTGTTCTGATCGAGTTTGTTTATACTGATTTTTTTGCGGTACCGCCTCAGAAATAGGGTGGGAAGGCAGAGTTTTTGAACGCTTTTTATTTGCTTCGTAAGACGACTTACGTCGCTGTGGTATCACTCTTTGTGACGGCATAGAATTATCTTTCGGAGAAAGCGCACTCCGTGCGTTTTTTTGCTTTACTTTTTTTTTTCTCGACTTATACTGACATTGATCTCAGCTTCGGATTCAATCGAGGAATCATCAGAATTAGAGTTATTATAATTAGAATTTGAAGTGCTATTACTACTTTCGGAAGCGCCTGAATCTGACTGTGAATCAACGTCAACAAAATTAACACGGCTACTTTTAGATTTTCTCGCCGTAAGGCTAGAATTGCTCTTATTTTTCTTCTTTTTACAGTTGCGAGAATTATGTCCAGTCTTACCGCAGTTTAAGCATCGATGTTTTGACGATTT